GAGAGAGAGAGAGAGAGAGAGCAAAATGTTGGCAAAAGAGTATGTGTTTGGCTGGCTGTAAAAAAAAATTTAAAGCGACACTTTTCTATCAGAGTATGATGCTGTATGTTTTCAAGCAACCATCTGACTTCATTTTAGTAGTTCCTACCCCAAGTCCTGTTTATTTCATTGCATATTCTCTATTCTAGGTGATATTTGAGGGATTCCTGACAGAGGCCGAGAGGAGTGTCCTGGCCATAGATGATGTCAATATATTGCCATGTGATGGTAAGACAGCAGTAACAGTCTGTGCCAAAAACATTTTTTAAGCTTACTGGCCCTTCAAGCCACCAGAGTCTACTAAAAACAAAGAGGACTTTTATTGAACATTATTATAATAATATTTAATGTCTTGGCTCCAATTTTACCAGTATCCTTAACATGGCAGACTGAAGATAATTTTATCACAGATCAAAGGATATTTTAATTTTTTTTCACCAGGAATAATAGAATTCTGTACATTTGAAGATGGCTACTGTGGATGGACACAGATATGGACAGATAATTTTAACTGGAGGAGAACTGACCACCCTACGGTGACAGAGGGGACGGGGCCTGTGGCAGGATATAATGGAGGTACTGGCACATATGCCACATACATGCATATGCACACATGCCAGGGCTGATTAACTGTAAATTTATAATGCCATTGTGGACCCAGTGAGCACCTATTAATTGAAAGGTGCCCAGCATAATATTTTCCCACTAAAAAATAATATTTAACTTATTTTTCTGGGGTAAGCGGGGACCAACCTTTCATCTTCCAATCTTGCCACTCACCATAACTTTGTAACAATCTGAGGATATAGAAAGTTCTAGGGTGGGTCTTAAAGTGTTTTTTTTATTCCCCTATTACTTTGTGCAATGACTTATGGGTTGCCATGCCATTCAAAAATGTGTCAAGATGGTTGACAAGTGAGGTTTTTCAAGAGGTGATAACTTGGATTATTTTGGTGACATTAATTCAATCTGTTAAAAGATGATCAGGAAGTCATACTTTTAGTCATATAAGCTCAACAAGAAATGCTTTTTATTCTTAGTGTGTGTTTAAAACCCTATTAAAAGTAGGCTATGTTACTTTAACTAAGTTTTAGACAAATGCTAAACATGATTTGTCTAAGGGGATTTTTTCAGCATATGCTGAGAGCAATTTTCTCATCCTCTGCTTCTTTTTGATATCACTTGACACATGCCTTAGTTTTCAAGAGGCAATATTTCAGCATATTTTACTTTTTCAACAGGCGGACACTTTTTGTACATAGAAGCCACTGGGCGGTACCCAAATGCCAAAGCTCAAATTCAGACCAAGGAGATCTCGAGTAACTCACAACACAACTGCCTTATCTTCCGCTACCACATGTATGGAAATAACATAGGAAAACTTGAAGTGAAAGTGAATGGCTCCTGGATTCTGTTTTCCAAATTAGGTGATCAGGGGAATGAATGGAAAGAAGCACAGGTGGAAATACTTCTGCCCTCTCGGAAGTTTGAGACATTTAAGGTAAAATGTTAAAAAATGTTGTGAGGATTAAAGTTAAAGAGTATTTCATGACAAAAGTGTATTTTTCCTTCTAAGTTAAAGAGTACTTTGAAAACTTTTTCTCTGATAGAGGAAATTATGTTTTTAGCTCAGACTGTTCTTAAATGTTCTTAGACTATTAGAGAAAAGTTTTCCTGTTTATTGATTGATTGATTCTAGAGAGCATCAAAAACAATGATGAGGTAAGAGCTAAGGATTTTTCATAATAGCATCAGTCAGTTTCCCAGATCAGTTTATCTTGATACAAAAAAGGTCCACTTCTTTCACCATTAAGTTTTTTTACTTCCAGCTGACCTTTGAAGCCTCAGTGGGCAACGGCCCTCTGGGAGATATTGCCATTGATGACATGTTTGTCCTGAGGAGGGAATGTCCTGGACCAGTCACAGTGCCATCTGGTGAGTGGAAGAAGAACTAGCTGGACTCACATGCAAAAATGTCAGCAATTGTTAAAATACTTATTTTGGGTGTATTAAGTTAGTCACCAAATATTTACCTGTAATATATGCCTTTCAGAAATGGTTAGACTTAAAATACCCTCTATTTTTAATGAGAGAAAAATGATTTGCTACCATTAGGTGCCATAAATTACAACCGATTTTGCTTCATGACTTCAGGCATACTTTTTTTTTTTTTGCACCAAAAGGTATAAAATCATCTTTTCTAATGTTTTTAATGGTGCACAAAAGCAGACATGGTCTCACCTGTGTCCAGTGTTAGGACAATGTCCCAGTTTAAATTAATTTTAACTTGACCTGAGGCTCTTTTCTCTTCCAGATTTTGATGAATTTATCATTGGTGACACCAGTGGGGGTCGCACCAACTCCACCAAGATAAGATCCCCTGGTTACCCTCACAGTCTGCCAATAATCCATTGGTACCGTCCTTACCGATACAAAATAACCAACTTAGAGGACACAGGATACATGGTGGTGACCTTTACTGACTGGCTTCTGGACAGAAAGGATGTTGTAGTGGTATGTTAATTTCATGAGGGTCGTTCAAGATGGCCCCCAAGTCTCGTAACTAAGAGCTCATTCCCAATGATACTTTCACTCTACTTAGATTGATCCAACTCCACAGGGACTCTCTCTGAATGCAATCAGATTAAAAGATTAACTGGCCTCCTCCTGGAATTGAGTAGAATACAGAAAAGCTGGTGATTATGAGATTATGTCGGAATGTATGTACTTCGTGGGAACTCTTGCTGAATGCAATCAGATTAACAGAGTGCTGTTTATATCTGATTGCATTCAGCAAGAGTTCCTGCGAAGTTTGATTGATCTTCATAGAACAATATAGTTTCATTGGGAACAACCCCTTAATGAAAAATTAAGCAATATTTTGTGGGATTTTGAATAGAAAAGGGACAGAAATAATGGCAGTTTGGCAAGCTACTTACCAGTGTTTGTATGTTTATGATGACAAGGATTTGAGAGGTTGTTGGCTGGCAGATCACAGTGTTTATCTTGAAATTACAAGTTGAGATTATAAACCGTTCACCACACCCTAGATCACATCAGGAAGTGAACAGACTTAATGAAATTTCAAAGAAATAAAAGACTGAGATGTTTCATCTTGGTTTATTATTTGATTATGTGCTATTTGATATATTTGCATTACGACAACACTTTGCTTTTTATTCCACAACAAATGAAACAAGCAATGTTATTTTTTTCAATCATTTTGCTTTCAGATCCATGACTATAACTCCAGCACAGGGTTAGCAGACAACAGGAGGATGTACAACGGAGGGTCAGATGGTCTGAGGGACCGTCCCAACATTGTGTCCACTTCCAATTGTCTGTTGGTCACAATACTGGACACTGCCAGTGGACAGTCATTTGTCAGTCACAATAATAGTATTGCTTTTAAAGGGAATGTAATATTCATGTCTGGTAGGTATACCAAATTGTGAAAGATTCTTTTGATTTTTTTTATTGAGCATTTTATTTCTAGATTTTTTGCGTAGGAAATTACATTACTGTGGTTTATTGTTTCATTTTTCAGAGTATGATAATGACATGATCTAATGTTGTTGAATTAATATATGAACAGGTTGTAAAATGTAAATAAAATAGATAGACTAGGAAAATCATTAAACACATTTTACCAACTAGATCTTACATCATTACCTTTCTGGCCCTCTGATGTCTGTACAAAATATGTATTTAAGGAACCATGTATTTAAATTAATTTAAAAAAAGATAAAGATTTAAAAGCATTGATTTTAATTTTACAGAACAGTGAAGATTAATTTTTTATTAACCATAGATATTATATTACTTGTAAAACTTATGCTTCGCACATGAGATATGGAAGGCTAATGAAAATAGTTTTAGAATAAAAAGGTAACTTTAAACTGCCCTATAGTAAAATAGTACTCAGTTTATTTTTTTTTCCAGGAAATATTCCTAGGCCAACAATGCCAAAGAGTAAGTACTTGAAATTCATTGTGATTAATTATTTTTTTAACAATAATAATATTTATTGTGGTTGAACACTTATTTAAACAGACTTTTATAGCTTAAATGTTTTTATGCTTAACTTTCAAGGACATCAACTTCCCACTTTCCATCCATTAAAAATTGTCAGCAACTGTTTTTCTTACAGTTTTTCATTTTTTTTTCTTTATTTTGTTTACCCCAACAATTAAGATTCTAAATAATATTTTATAGCTTGACACAGCCGGATGAATATGCAATGTGCAGAATTGAGAAATCTTCACTCAGTTGTATGATTAAACTGTATCCATGATATCATTATCTTTTTCATGTGAGATATTTCTTATCACCTTTACAAAATGTCAGTGCTCACTTCTTCAGGTTGTGGTGAAGTTTTCGATAAGTATTCTGGCAATATCAGCCTAAAATTGACCTCCAGAGAGACCAACATTAGCAGAGATTGTGTCTGGGTCATAAAGAGCACCCCACCATATACAGACACTGTTTTAACTGGACCAAGCCAGATATTACTACCAGGTAGGGCACTGGTCACCTGGCACTTTTTATATACATATACTGTTTTAACTGGACCAGTTCAGAAATTACCAGGTGGGGCACTGGTAACTTTAGACTGGTCCCTCATTTAAAAAAATCAGTGAATATGAAAGTTATAGAGTTCTCCACCCAATTTTTTGATACAATTTTTACTCAGACATCACCCTCTAGAAGTACATGGGCTGTAGAATAATTTGATCATTTTTTAATGGGTAATTATATTTTTATAGGAAGCACCATTCGACAATTCATGGTCCGTATACATGATGGTGTGACATCAGACACGCCGTATCTAGATTACTATAGCGCCCCCAACAACATGATAGGTATGGAACTGATTGGTCACCATGGGATTTACATCAGAATGGCTGTAATTGGGCTGAATGGACATATGGAGTTTTGGGCCAGCTACTTCAAGGCCTCACATTTATATGGGGGTAAGTTAGCTGGATATTGTGTTAAACATTGACCTTTGAACACAATTTGATATTTTTTCCATAACAATGTTGTTGTTGTTTTCGTTTGTAAAAAAATGTTGCAATGTTTTTTCCCGTCTGGTGACTGTATATTTGCAAGTCTTGCTATTTTTTTTTTAAGCAATACTTGGAAAAGATTAGATCTTGGTTCATGTCAGAGAATGTGAAAAAATGAGACAGTTGAATATGTAATTTTCTAAATTTATTAATGATTTTTAAGATCTCTCGACTAATATCGATTTCTTTTTAATCATCATCATCACTGTCAACAACTCATTTTTCATTTCAGTTTACCACCCTTGCCCTGACTATCGGAACATGTTCCGTTGTGAGGACGGCCTGATGTGTATACCATACTCCCTGTACTGTGACGGCACACCGCAATGTAGGGACAGATCAGATGAATACAATTGTTCAGGTATATCTGGGTCCAGACTCTCAAAAAGGTTTTAAATTAATCCAAAATAAGAGTGCTTACAAATTTAGCTGAATGAATTGCGTTTCACAAAAAAAACAAGGTTGCATGGCATATTGATTCTGTCTGACTTGACCGTTTTTGAAGACACAAATCTCATTAATTTCAGTTTGAGACCACAGGTTTTTTCTTTCATTTTCATCACTTTAAAAACTCTGTTAGCCCAAGTGCTAAAGACTTTCACAGCTTAAAAAATATGGGTGTGCAGAATTTAAGATGTAATTATTCTGGTTTCTTGTGGCAACTCAGTTTGATATGAATGCAACACTCTGGTATATGAAGTGCTTTAAATGTTCTACAATATGCAAAAGTCCGTCAGTGCAAGTTTGGAAAAAACTTTCTCAAATCAAACATTATGGGTATGCAGCAACTTAATATGATGCAAATATAACACTAGTATATAACACTCAATAATTGATCTATAAGAGAATAATATATGTTTGTTTTCAGCATGGTGTCTTAAAAGTACAAGTACCAACTACAGAGTGTGTCACGGGTCACAGAGCTGTGTACATGTGAGTGCGTTGTGCGATCACAACTGGGACTGTGCAGATGGATATGATGAAAAATACTGTAGTGGGTATCTGACATTTTTGTCATAAATTTTTTATTCCCTACTTTAATAATAAGAAACTTTTTCCTCGAGGGCAAATTATTTTCAGTTATAATAAAGATTGATTATTATAATAACAAACATTGAACTGGCTTATTATTTTGAAAACCACATTGAATAAATGTACTTATAAAGTTTTTACTAATTTTTCGATGTTTTGATGATATTAATATTGAAGTGGGTACAAGGTGGTGCTTCCTCAATACTTGTATATTAAAACAACCCACTGGAGGTCATACAATGTGATATTTTTCTTTAGTTTCTTTAAGTAACTGCTGAGTCTTGCAACGACCTCCCACCACCTTTGAGAATTTTTTTAATTGTTAATTAATATTTAAATTAATATGTTTTTTCAGGTTACACTGCCTCCACCACTCCACAGGCCACACCAATACTAGGTAAGTTTAATAGTGGCCTTTTTGTCACATGAAATGTAAAAATCATACAAGAAGGTAAAGGCCTTCATAACCAGAATTGGCTGACTATACATTTCCAATGCAGATAATTTCTTGAGATGGGCATATTCCTCCTTTTGGATGATTTCCAACTTTTTTGTGTGTCTAAAGGAGAAGTTTGAAAGTTTCAAAAGGTTGTATGAGGATTTCAAAAATAAAAGCAATTTAAGGGGAACTAAAGGACATTTTCTACTATTTAATTGTTCTCAACTTTTATCCAGAATGTTGTTATTTTCACATGGTTCTTCATCGTGATATACGTTGGTGAAAGTATTCAGAATTTTGCCTGATTTCAGGATTTTCAGTCTTCATTTTGATCATTTTTCATATGGTATCATTGCAATGAGAAATTGCAAGCTACACTCTCAGGATTTTCATTTTTTACAGCTTTCACCCACGTGATATATTGTGTGTAAAAAATAATATGATTATGATATATTTGTATTATTGAGAATGGAATTAACCTTTTTTATCTTTACAGCTGTAGAAGAAGATGATGGTACCATTATTGGGATTGCGTTGTTTGGAGTGGTAGTCCTGATTTGTTTGTCTTGTTTGGTATTTGCTGCATTCAAACGTAATGGTGAGTCATTGCACAGTAATTATAACTACAACAACCTAATTTTTCCTGAAGAAGTTCACAAGTTTGGCAAGTGTTTTTTACAATCTAAAATAATTTTTAAAAAGCACATACATTATCAGTGAAATATAATTTTCTTACAGTTATGATATTTCTTTATTTTCTTCTCAAAAGCAACTTTTTTCAAGTTAATTTTACAAATGACTGCTACTTTAATTTGAGTCAATGAGACAAAAGAAAATGAATTTAAAAATTAGAAAAAAAAGGAGAGTTTATACACAGAGACATTTTTTTATCTGTTACAGCCATGCAAAATTCCAGAGGAAGTGTTCGGAGCAGGACGGTGGAGTTGCCACCAGAGCCAGAAGTACAATCGGTAACATACAGTCGCCAGAACAGTAATGCCTCCTACTTGATCTATCAGTACCAGAACGACTGGCCGCCAGACTATGATGCTGCTGTCCGATACAATGCTGATGACGGAAACGTCAATCTGGTGGGTGGTCATTTTGGAAAATTTTGAACACAAAAAAAGTTTATAGTTCATAATCTTGTCAACAATTTTCATATTGTGGAACTTATGGATGAAGGGAGAAGAGTGGAAACTTCCGGGAAAATTGAATCAAATTTTAGCCGTATATAAAGTTACAATGATTATTGTGCGTCTTTGATTCTTTTATGATTATCTGAACCATGTGCTAAGAGGCTTTGCACAGTAGCACAGCAGCATGTTGGAACATAAAATGAAGCCCCCTGTGTAAATGGACACATTTTTTTAGGAAAGTTAATATCACTGTGTTTTTTTTTCTCAGGGTTTCCAAAATTCTTCTGGCGATCTCAGGCAGGAACCACCCAAGTATGAAGAAGTCTTCCACGACTCAGCAGTTTCCAGGCAAGTTTCTAGTCAGCCAGACCTTATACCAGTAAGAGAGGTCTCTTTCATTGATGAAGACAGAGAGGATGATAATGTCCAGGGAGACAATAGTGCTATTTTAGATCATATCCAACAGGTGGCAGCACAATCTAATGATGAACATGCTGGCCAACAGATGGCAGCACAGGGTGATAGTTCAGGTGGAAGCCATGAGATGGCAGCACAAGGCAATGAACAGGTTATCCCCATGGCAAGTGGTGAGAGCATGGTGAGAGGGAACATGGACTCTTCCTCCACAGTATTTGGAGACCAGGCTGGAGACAGAAGACAGAATGTGCCAGTCACTGAGCTCTGAAAAAGTATATCTATGTCATTGGCTTCCAACTGATTTTTCAGTATATAAGTATAGGCACAAGCAAAACAGTACCTCTTGAAAGCATCCTTCAGCTTGAATGCTAAAGGCACTCAAGGTGAGGTTTACTGTAAAATTTACTGAGAAAATTGTTTGTTAATTTTTCTTATGGTATCTGACATTGGATATACAAGTACATTTGTTGTGCATACTTGCAAAAGTTGTCCTTGCGATACCAATCATTACGATGGTGAGAAAGTTTTGGGGCTGGATATTTGTGTGGCAGTCCTTATCTGCATCCATCTGTATACAACCTGACCTCCTCCCAGCCTGGGGAGTTTTCACCACATGCTTAAAATGTTTACCTTTACTCCAGCAAATATCACTTCTGAATCAGTAAATGTTGATCATTTTTCACCACCTCCTTTCAAAATAGCTTAAAAATTAATGAATGTATTTTTCAGACCCAGGATAACCCCTCATCAACAGATTTTTGTTATAAATGTGTAATATGACAGAAAGCATTCCAAATCAAATGCAATATATGTATCTCTATCATGTAGTATTATAGATTTAATTTAATCATATCAGAACAAATTATCATTTATAGTCACTGAATATTTCTAGGGTTTTCCTATTTTACACAGGGTATTGATACAAACAAGAATTGTGAAAACAAACTATTTTATTAAAAGTTTGTTATATTATGTGAAAAAAATTAATTTATCTCTATTATTTGCCATATCTTATTTTTTGCTTAAATACACTTGTTTTACACTTGTTTTTATTTGATATGATCACACGTAGTAGCCCAATTAATGGATTGTATAGCTGTATTTTTCATATTGAATCTGTTAAAATTGTCAGTAATGGCAGATTTGCCCTGTACGATTTAAATGAAAAAGACGTCAATATTAATTTTTTTTTTTTTTTTTTTTTTTTTTNTTTACACAGGGTATTGATACAAACAAGAATTGTGAAAACAAACTATTTTATTAAAAGTTTGTTATATTATGTGAAAAAAATTAATTTATCTCTATTATTTGCCATATCTTATTTTTTGCTTAAATACACTTGTTTTACACTTGTTTTTATTTGATATGATCACACGTAGTAGCCCAATTAATGGATTGTATAGCTGTATTTTTCATATTGAATCTGTTAAAATTGTCAGTAATGGCAGATTTGCCCTGTACGATTTAAATGAAAAAGACGTCAATATTAATTTTTTTTTTTTTTTTTTTTTTTTTGGGGGGGGGGGGGGTTAGCTTCTTCATTCAGCAGAGCAGTCGAAATTAAGAGATATTGACACATGGAGACTTAGAATTCAAGTTAAGGTTTGGAGACACTACAAAGTAATCAGTTGATTTACACAACTGACTCATAGATTTTTGATTAGTATTTAACATTTACATTTAAAAGATTTTAAGTGATTCTTGTTTTAGACAATAAATAAGTCTGCGAAAAAATCATGCGATATTTTGTGAATGCAGCAGTTGATTATGACTGTAATAATATATTTGTACTGTGGAAATGTAATTTCCTTCATTTGGGCACAAAAGTGCTTAAAGCACACTGCTGTGATTATAAAGATGTTATTATCTCACTTCTCTCACTTGCATATTTTTGTTAAATAAAATGCATATAATTATCTTTTCAGAAACGTATAAGTTATTCCAGATAAATAAACCCCTACAAGGCAGCACCCTGATGTAGATTTTAGAATTGCTTTTAAATTGTACTAGATTTAATTTATACATCCTATTTATTCTATTGTGGGGTTCTTTATAGAATTATAGTACCCACACCAGTTCCTCTTTTATGAAAATGGGAACAATAGACATGTATTGATGTCAATATGTTATGTAAATAGTATTTAAGAAATTTGTTCCAGAATCACGTTGCCGCGGGTACAACTGCATCTGTAAATTTGTCATAATGGTTCATTTTTTGTCTTCTGCATGGCATTTGTTGTTTGCTAAAAGTTTACCATGTAACTCATCTGTAATTGGTGTAATCTTTTTTTCAATATTGTTGAAGTATATTGATTATATAGTGGAACTGCAGTCTAGTTAATGTGTATTTAGTAAACACCAGTACTTTAGAGCAGACTGATGGCTTCCACTCTGTATTCTTCACTTCTGACGAAGCAAGACGGCTTCTCTGAAAACACTAATTGTTGTGATGAATATTTGGTGCACATACTTTGCTTTATTCATGTGAATTTAGCATCTGATCAGTCTTTTTCATTTAGTCTATTCCATCAATATTATCTTCAGACCATGAGTATAATTTTATTAATTCTGTAACTTTTATATGAACAATCTCAATTTTGTTATTCTGTTGCATGCATTTTTTTTCACGCTCTGAATAACCTGGTATTTGACCTAAACAAGCAAAAATTTTTGAAAAAAAATCAATATAAATTGGTATTTTGTACTGAAATGCTTGATACCATTGAATTTATAAAATGTTTAACCCTTGTTAAGATACTTAATTTCATGTAGTTATTATTAAAATAATAGGACCACCAGTTAAGAAGCAATTGATTCTCCTTGCCCAAACATTTTGAAACTGGCAATACTGAGAAAGAATTTTTTTTTTTAATTTGTGGGGGGAGGAAATAGATAATGAAAGAGATATTGTAAACAAAAACATCTGTGAAGCAGTTATTGGTGCATTTATGAATTTTCACACCAGGGCACATGTGGCAAGAGGAAACAATTTGAAACTTTTTTTAATGGTGGCTCGGCTGTATTTTTAATCTTGGGGAGGGTGCAAATGCGAATTTCGTTAATTGACCACTATTTACTGTATTTTTACAACAATTAGCAACAAAGTACTCACGCAATATTATAGGAACCATACAGGAATTATTATTCATCCACTCGTGTTGTTATAATATAAATGTTGAATTTTTTTCAGATGTTTAGAAATGCTATTTAGTCATCATGATAGAGCAAATTAAGTTGTATTTGATCAAAACTGTCACAAAATAAATATTTTTCAATAAGTGAATTCTTTTTTTGTTTTCTTAAGTTAATAACCATGTCTCCGGCACAGGTTTTAACATATACGACACCTTGGCAACTTGGCCTGGAAGCTTAGGTTTTAAAAAGAGAAAAAAAAAGGTGACAGCTGTGACATCATTTAATACCTTTATCTTATAAGCTTTCTTATTACATTGAAGTTCATTTCATCAGGTTTAAATTCAGCAAACCTCAAATGTGGAGAAAGGCCAAAAGTGAACTTAACACACTACTTACTGCTATATCACTGGTAAAATTATTTTGTCTGATGATGTCATCAAAACCCAAACCAGTCGAAGTTGGTTTGCTTAATTGTCTTTTGAAATATAATGATGTTAGTTTCTGTGAGTACTTCAATGAGTACATAAAAACATTCTACAAATTGCCAAGATAAATAATAATGCTGTTATAAAAATGTAAGATCTTTGTCCATTCAACAAATGAAATCTCATTCTTGCTGAAAAACTATCTGATTTCCCTCAGACTGTGGCACTAGTATTGTCCTGGTTACTCCCTCCGAGGACGGCACAAAAATTGTCTTGGTGTGTTCTCCGCTGTGTGTCTCAGTTGTGCTCTGTAACAAAGCCTGGTACAAATCTGCTGCCTCGTACGTTATCGCCGCACCCTGAGAGTCAGACCCAACATAGGTGATGGGGGCACCCTGGGAGTCAGCAGTCACCACAAACTGTTGAGTTTGCAGTGGTAAATGATCTCCGTCGGTGTTGATGATGAGATTCATAGGTTGAGATGAGGTGACCTCTTCCTGGGTATCGATGACCTCTGTCACGGCCATAATGTCCTGACTTCTCTGGTGCTGTTTCTGTGAGTCATGGTTTACGCCATGCATGCGGCTTTCGTGACGCTGGAGGTGGTGTTTATGGCGGAAGACATAGCCACAAAAACGGCAGCGGAATTTTCCATCGCTTGTGTGGGCACGGATGTGTGCTTTGCACATTACATCCGTGTTGAATCTCCAAGTGCATCCTGGGAATGTACATGCAAACGGTCGGTTTAGATCGTGCACCCTCTTGTGTTTAGCCAATGTTGGTTTGTCCGTGTAAGCATACCCGCATATATCACACAGCACACTGCCTTGACTGTGGAACTGTCTGTGGGCATGGATTGCTGCATTCACTTTGGACGTAAAATCACACTGATTGCACTTGAATATTCTCTCCCTGTGGACACGTTTATGTGTATTGAGATAAGTGAGAGTGGTGAACCCCTTGCCACATTGATCACAGACAAAGGAGCGCTCAGTTCTATGAGTCTTCAAGTGATTCCTGAGATACCGCAAGCGCCCAAACACCTTCTCGCACTGATCGCAAGGAAAGATACCCGGTAAGTCCTGCTTCTCTATGTTTCTATTTCGTCTCTTTGATTTCACTGTTTTGGTAAGGGAGTCGTAACTCTCATTAAACACCCTAAGACTGATAATCTTTTCCCTATCTGTTCCATCTAGAATGTCTCTGTCCACTTTCTGGTTGATCTCTAATGCCTCTCTGTGGTTGCCCATAAAATGCTTCACTAATGCACTCTTTGATACAGTTTTATACTGGCAGTGGAGGCACTTCAGGAACATCTTAGAATATTCATCAGTATATCCTTTCAATTTCTGATAAGACAGAATAAAGTTGAAGTCACAATCAGTATCAGTGTCCATATCCTGATTTTCCACCTGGGAACCTTCTGCTGGTGCAGAATCATGTTCTGTTTCACAGGAATCTTGGACAACTATTTGAACATGTATTGTCTTGGAATTTTCCTCTCCCTCCTGCCCACCTTCTGTGACAATCTTGTCTTGGTCTGTGCTGCCACCTATGTTAGTGTTGTCCTGACCTGCATTACCACCCGTTTCTGTGTTATCACTGTCTGCATTTGGAACCATATCAAATTCATGTCCAGCTTGTTTTAGTTCTGTCCTGTTGTTACCTTCATTCCTAAAATGTCCAAAAATACTTTCAAAAGATACAGATATGCATGGTCTAATTTTCACAAAACATTAAATAATGCAAACAATGGGTGCCTTATAGTAATTGCTGCCTTGTCCTGAACTGAGAATTTTCTCATTTAAATGGTTTATATTTTTAAAAAATCTCCATAATTCACAAGCTAGAAATTGATAGCAAAAGCCCATATGCACCTTGGGTGAATATCACATTAAGGGCCAGCAGTAATTCAAACACTATCATGCCACAAGAAAACTCCACTCACCTGGTGGCCTCTTTGTTAGCAGCCTTCTTGGTTCCCTCCCCTCTGTGGTAGAACCTGCTGATCTTGTGCTGTTTCTTGTAATGCTGAACCAGTGTGAAATGGCGTGTGAACTTCTGTGTACACAGTTCACAATGGTAACGGCTGCTAGAAGATAGATCTGGAAAAACAAAACAAAAAAGTTTAAATGACCTTAAAGAGAATTTGTAAGATTTTTAAGATTTGTAAGGATTTGTAGATTTTGAAAGATTAGCATTTTTGACTGAAAATCATTACAGTATATGATTATTTTTGATAATATGCTATATCCTAAACTTCAGTATTACTAGTATATATATAAACCTGAGATCACACTTAGCCAGTTTAAAGGAAATATTAAAATGAGGCTTACATAAGGGGGCCGTAAGAGAAGTTGTCAATTTTTTTACAGTTTTAAGAACATGTAGATTTAAGTTTAATTATACCATGGAGGTACATCTCTTGACTATGCACACTACACTTTGATAAATATGGATTACTAGTAACTGGGTGAATACATAAAAGGGAAAAAAATGTCATACTTGTACACAGTAAATATAATGCATTTATGTAGATGTAAGTTACTCACATTCTTGATACAATTCAAATGTATGTATATCTAGTGAAAACCATCAGTTTAAAACTTACAATCTGACTTATGTTCCAGGAAAGTCAGGATGTCCCTGAAAACCTTGAGGCACCTGCCACACTTCAGTTCATCAGTGGCCACTGGAAAGTACAAAAAGATTCAAAACTTGACATAAAAGTTAAAATAAGACTTATTCAAACAAACAAACAAAAAAAAAGCATATTGATAAATCACTGTTTGAGCTGCTGTATGTTTTTTAAAGAATCTTTTTAATAATACTTGAAATGTAATAGCTTGAGAAGAAACTAAGGGCTATAAATTGTGAATTGAGTCGGTACTCTATAAACACCTGACTAAAAGATACTAGTAGTATCTCTGTTCTTTTCCATTCCTTCTGACTATATTTATCTCAAATTGAGTAACTTTTTGTTCTCTTGGCTGCATTTCATAAATTTTACTTTTTCCAGCTAGATTTTGTACCCTTGCCAAAACAGACAAATGACATAGCAATTTTAATGAAACTTCTCTTAACCTTTTCCCCTTAACTTCAAGTGCAATACGCAAAAACAATTATAAACACTTAAAAAAGCTTTTCTTAGGATATGTACCTACCTGAAATATCTGTAACATCCTCAACCAAATTGCCCGTCTCTTCTAAATTCTGATTGGTATTTTCATCTGACTCAACTTCTTGCTCATCTGGGTGGTCCATTCTAGGAAGAAAATCAAATAAATTGGAAGGTCTAACAATACTGTGTATAAAAAAGCCATGCAGAAGAAAACTTCACTTGTTAAACCGTTGTGAACATTTTCAATTGATCACTGGACATATGCTGAGGTCGGCCGGCTGAGGTCGGGTGAACATGATCTTTCCAACAGCATTAAATAACTTCCTTGTTTTTTTTGTTTTTTTTTAATTTTCATTATTTTTATGATTATTAGTTTTTAAATGGGCAAAGTTCTAAGAGCTACTACAAACAAAAAAAAATCATGCACTTATACTTAGTACCATTAAGAGCAAGAAAACAAAATAAACTGACTCATAATATGCGTGGACCTACTTTGTCTTATTATGTGCCTGTAAGCTGTAGTAAGCGTATATCTCAAGTCGCAGTGTACATGTACGTATGAATATCATGCAAGCAAGGAGTTTCAACAGTTCAACTGTTTAAACTCCTTGACACAAGTAAAATGCACAAGCACGGTAAGTTTGGGCACAAACTTAATAAAACTTAATTATTCTATAAAGGCAACGTTTCGTCTCTCATTCTGACTCTGTAAAAAATCTTCAAGTATACACGTGATCATGTGCTTGTTAAAAAGCATGCTTGATCTTCAATTGCTTTTCAAATTTTGATAAGAAGAGGTGCAAACTTACTTGGAGACTCCTGCAACCGGAAGTTTCGAAGATGGATAATCGGGATAGACGGCGCAGTTAATCAAGATAAGATATTTATTCAGAAAAATAAGTGTGTTATATCGTCCAACACTGTATTAAATGCATTGTGTAAATTTTTTAAAAGCAATGAATATTTTGTTGATGTTAATGCTGATAGAATATGGTATTAATTATAAATGTTGATCTTTAATTCTCAATTAGCCTGTCTTGGTTTCGGTTGGAGGGGAAAGTGCAAGTGTCAACAAATCTCCGGCAATCAACTGTGCTGATAACGTTAGAGTTTATCATCAATTGACAGCCAGGAATCGAGTAACATATGATGACACATTGATATCTTAGAAGGTGAGTGTCCTTTCCGCCTCAAAAACCGTAAAAAAACAATCTGTTTTGACTGGGCAATAAGCTGAAAATTGGAAAGAGGTGGAGTTCCTATAAATCTTAATGGAAAGTGGAAAGTCACATGCTTTTGAGTAATAATTGCCGGCAGCAAACGTTGAATAAAGTCGTAAGCCATGAAGGACTTGCTATCGCAGAGTGGCCTGTATTGCCACTTATGGCGAACTCTGAATTAATAATCAGCAGTGGAATTGGGAATAAAAAAAATTAGCTGGCCACAATAACTGTAAATCTGGATATTTATAGAAGGAGTATTACTGTAATTGAAAAATTGTTAGAAAATTATTAGTGCGATAAATGAAATAAGTGTAAATTGCAAAATGCAAAGTATGAAACCCCATGTATTGTTCTCTTATGCATCTAAATTATTGTGTTTTTAGTCTTTCACCACCTTAAAATTTCCACTTCTGTGTAAATTGTAATGACATCTTTTAACTTACAAAATTTGAGCAAATAAGGAAAATTAATTAGTCTGTTGCCCAAAAATATTTCCTTCATTAGATCTTATGTACAAGCTTTGTAAAACTCTGAAAAGTGATGTAAGTTCAAGTCTTCATTTGTGTGTGTGTGTGTGTGTGTGTGTGTGTGTGTGTGTGTGTGTGTGTGTGTGTGTATTTTATAAAATTTCATTATCTAAAAGACAAAATGTGTGAAATACAGTGTAACTACCAGCTACCCGGTAGGTGCCTAAAATCATGAATTAAATACTATAGCATATTTTCCAGAGATCCAAAGATGGCAACATGCCGAGAGGGATGCAAGAAGTGCACAGCCCCATTTCTGCTGATAGTTGGAGTTATCCTTGTTGTTCTTGGCATAGCTGGTATCTATGAGTTCCCTGTGCTGATAAACCAACAAGTAACTCAGGTAATTAATGTCGCTGATAACCACCAGATGTCAGGCAAAACCAAGACTGTACACTGGTAAATATGGTACCTGCTGCCTGAAATCCTTAACTGGGGCAGAGCTAGCAATTTTTTTTCACTTAGCCAAATCACCACATTTTTGTCAATTTGTTATCAAAATGGTCATAATTTGGCTAAAACATGTTAAATCAAGCCCCTTTTCTTTAGCCAATTTAAGTCAGTTTTAGCATTTGGCTAAATTGGTGAGTGTTAGCGCTTTCCAGCTTAGTTTATTTGTCTCATCTCTTTAAACCTAAACAACAACAGACTGCTATGAGCTAGAGTTACTTTGTACATGTTCATGTACTCAGTAGTATTGTCATAAAAAGTAAGTGTAGATCTAATACACAAGTCATGTGTAATAGTTTTAGGAAGCAGGTTAATACAGTATTGTTATTTGAGTGGATTAAATACTGCATGCTTATGTCAATGTCAAATTTGATTACTAGTAAATATTTGACCTAACATTTATTTGAATATATGACCTTATAATAAGTTTGTTAGTGAGATGGAAACTTAGTCACCATGTTATCTCTCCTGTTTTGATTAATTTAGTGAATCAGGTGTATTTCGATTAAATTAAACTGATATTTATGTTATCTCTACAAACCCAGCATACAGTATTTGTCATATTTTATATGTATTACAATGTAATTGATAAGGTTTTATAGAATCATTATGGAAACATTAAATTAAGAATTTTGAATAAGAGTTGACCAGTGTTAATATTACATATCCACTGATAAGATTACCAGTGGTGCTGTTTTTTTGACTTGATTTATACAAAAATGTATAATGTAGGTATTTCAGTGGCTATTTAATAGTATTGGTAGTATTTCTGTGGTGTTTTTTGTCCTTTGAGTACTATTATTTGCCTTTTTGTTCCTTTGGCAGTTTTTATCCCTCCTTGAGGTTTTGGCACTTTTCCTCACTTTATTTACTTCAGAAGAGTTGAGTTGAAATGAAAATTTACTTTTTTTTATTTAAAGATGCAAAAAAAGATTAAAAATTGATGAAGTGGAAAAAGAAAGGATAATATAGTATTAAATGGTCTCCTACATTTTTATTTATTACCAATTTGCTGTCACTCTAGAAATATCACTCTATTTTATTATCCCATTTGTTGCTGGTGGTACAAACATAGGAGACGTCTCTGTCTCTCTGGTCCTCTAATTTTATAATTTTTCCAGAATGTTATGCTCAAAGAAGGGACAATGGGATATAAACAGTGGAAGGAACCCACTGTTCCTATCTATATGAAGTTTTATGTGTTTAATCTTACCAATCCAGAAGAGGTGCTAGCTGGTGGGAAGCCTTATGTGGAAGAAATAGGACCGTATACATACAGGTAAGCTTGGTAAACATTACAGTACGGCTGTTTGGAAGATTTGGTTAGTAGGAGTGTAGCTTTTCTAATACGGTGTATGTTTTGTGGATTTATGTATGCTTTGCAGTTGGCTTGTAGGTATTTTAGATAGATGATGTTGTTTTAAGAAATACACTGTAGGTCTCCAAAGACTGTTCACAAGATAATATTTTTTTTATTTGTCAGCATATGAAATTGTACGTATACCCATCAACCCCCCCCCCCATGGTCTCTTCTTTTACTGTTATAAGTTGGTTAAAAATGTTATAATGAACTTTATTTCTCTGTTTTAGAGAACACCGTGAGAAAGTCAATATAACCTTCAATGGCAATGGAACAGTCTCCTATCGCCAGATTAGAACATTCCATTTTGTAAGAGAGAAGTCAGTCGGAGATGACAGTGAGAATTTTACCACCGCTAATATCCCTTTACTGGTCAGTGGTAAATGCATTTTCTTTGAAAAATGTAATTTCTTTTAAAATGGATCGACAAATATAAATGAAAACCGTGCTTCTCATACATGTACAGTACCTCAGTTACATTTTTCATTCCTTAGAAATTGATTTGTTTATTGAGGCAGACATATTGAACTCAATTTTCTTGGAATCACTGAAATTTTTACCTACAGTGTAAAGTTTCAGCATGTATATTTAGTCGTTGTTGCCATATTCAATTCCTTGTGAAAGTTGACCTTGTTTTAATTATACCATGTTAGCTTTAGAAAATCACCTTTATGTTTTCAGACAGTAGCAGAGGCAATGAGAAACCAAAGTTATTTCATTCAGCTTGCAGTTGAAGCCGGGTTAAAGGTAAAGTTGTTGAATTTGTATGTGTTTGAATAAAGGAGGTTTTGTAATCAATAAGAATGAGAGAGTCATTATAAATTGTGTCTAAGGGACCATTAATTCAGAATGAGGTTTGTAGACCTAGCTAATGTGCACATAAAATACAATTTGATTTTAATCAAATAAGACTGTGTCTAAGTATTCATAGGGTGTTTTTTTTTGTTGCAAGATTTTCATTTCTTTTTATCTTTTAAGTTGACAGATGAGAAGCTCTTCATCAGCCGGCCTGTACGCCAAATAGTGTGGGGTTACCATGACCCCCTGATGCACCTGATGACCCTGATGCCTGGCCTCAGTGACTGGTTCTACACTGACTGGATTGGAGTCATGATGAATGTGAGGAGAAAGGGGGACTTCCATTAAATAACAATACTGTACAGTTCAGTTCAATACAAAACAGCACAACAGAATACAACACAACACAACACATTATAATGGTGCCTGCAAAATAACATTTCTTGTAATAATTTTCATTTTAAGTGTTTTAGGAAAGAATAATTTTTTTTTAGACTGAAGTGAATTTTTATCATCACCATTATATATATATATATATATATATATATATATATATAATTAAGTCAAGTATTAAAATTGGCCTCAATGATGATTTTTGCATAATAGTTCCAGTTTTTGTGATACTATCGTGTACATTATTAAAAGTTTTTAACATAAATATACACCACAGTATTATTTTCATTTTTTATCCAGAAAAATGCCACAGATGATGGACTTTACACAGTTTATACTGGAGAGAATGATATCAGTAAACTTGGAGTGATAGACAAATACAATGGTTCCAAGTATCTCAATTTTTGGACAACAAAATATGCTAACATGGTGAATGGATCAGGTAGGTTTGGATCTGTTGTTTGGATCTTTTATAAGAAAAAAAATCACTCAGATTGATTAAATTGTGCCTTATTTTGTAAAAGTAAAGTATTTTTTAAGTACTTGTATGGTTAAATAACAGATGCACATTGTATATGGGAGGTCACTATGGGCTGATATTGACCTGCACATGACTGCTGTCAACCAGTCAACAAGCAACAAGAAAATTTATTATTTGTTTCATTATTCATTATAATTTCTTCCCTACAGATGGGACGATCGCTCCGCCTTCCTTTGCAGTTGAAAATGACACCCTCTCGTACACCTTCCAGAGTGATATTTGCAGGTGACGTGATCTTTTTGTTCCCAATTTTTGAGATGAGTTTCAGAGATTATCGGAAGTCACCTCTGTACCAATGGAATACAGCAGAGGGGAGGTTTCGGTAGTTTCTGAAATTCTGGGTGGATGACATGTAACTTTCGTATCTGATTGATATACATTTGTCAGTTTGTGCCCAGCACATCAGGGTCATCAAAGAGTTCATCACACAGTTCTTCCTTTTTTATCTAAAATATACTCTCAATTAAGTTTTTGAAGAAATATTACAATTTGCATTCTTCTGATCATCATTTCTGATTATTTCTTAACAGGTCAGTTTATGGAGTTAAAAGGGGCTCAACCAAGACTCCCCAGGGTATCAGTCTCCACAGATATATCGGGACAGCGAGTGAGCTGGCCAATTACAGCATCAACCCAGACAACATCGGCTTCTGTCTCCCTAACAAGGACTGCCTGGGTACTGGGCTGCTTTGGTTGAAGTCCTGTACAAATGGTTAGTATGGGCTAAGGTAGAAGATAAATTTTGGGTCCTGGGTATGGGTTATTGATGACAGTCAAGGATAAACTCTGCTTATGGATGTGGAGTATAACATACTGTGAAGTGGATCTTATAACTTGTTTGTAGTGGGTTGAGATCTTGTCAGAATATATGCTAAATTTGAGTATTAACTAATGATGATAGAGGTGGAAAATAGTTCAGTTTCTCAGAAACAAAAACATTTGCTACTTCTACCAGGTATCATTATCAGTTAATACTCAAATGAGAGAATCTCTGTCACTCACCTATTATTAAATTTCCCATTCTTGTATTTTTCATTTCTTTGACATGATTATATAGAATATAACAAGTTAAGAGCTAGCAGAGTTCATGTCAAAAAGCACACACATGCAAATAAAATATTTCAATTGCCCAAGGCTTGTTAGTATTCACTTAATAAATTGATAATCATTGAAAATAATTGATAATTGATATCATTCTGTATCTGTATCTGTCCATGTACGTCTAAAGAAACCACTACTGGTGTATCATTGATATTCCAGTTTTGAAATTTTCCATTGGCATTCTTGTATTTTGCATTTCTATGACATTTTAATCAAATATTTAATTCTCTTTGCAGTGGACTACTTCCCCGTGCCCGTGGTGGCATCTTTTCCTCATTTCTATCAGGGAGATCCCAAATTTGTGGAGGCCATTGGTGGCATGCATCCCAATGCCAGCTTACACCAAACTGAAGTAGATGTAGAACCTGTAAGTGTGCATGTGAAGTCAGGCCTTTTTCACATTGAGCAGTAGCTTTCTGTTACGTAATAAATGTGGTCCAGTTTGAGAGAGTCACAACTTACATTCGTAATAGCCTGCTATAAAGGAAGAAAGTCATCTAAATGCAGCACCCACACTAGACACAGCATGGATCAGTTTTGATTTACATTGGGGGCTTGAGAAATGGAATAAAAAATCCATTGAGCCTGGAACAGCACAGAAAACTGTTTTTCTTGATGTGAACGTGGAAATTTATCCTGGGATAAATCCTAGGATGATGTGAAATAGGCCTTCTCTTTACAATACATAATTTTATCTTGTTATGTATCAACTAGTTTAACAAATTATTTGACTTTTATTAGACATCGCTACTACAAAGTGCTGAATATTAACCGTTGTACGTCGATCACATTTGATCTTCTGTGTATAAAGCTATAAAAATACGGTGATACATAAAAGAGAAATTAAAGTAAGTTCAGTATTAGTCTTGTATTGTCACTCTTTCTTCAGATCACAGGGTTAACTATGGGTGCTCACAAGAGGGTGCAGATTAATGTTTTTATGACCAAAGTAAAAGATATAGGGTAAGTACACTATGCAGTATTTTTGCACTGTACACAATAATTGTCAATCAAATGTAACAGCTATTTCAAATAATACTGCATTTTATTTTTAAACAAAGCAGTGTTCCTGTTATAAAACAGAAATGTTATAAAATTAATTAATTTTCATAGTACAGTATATCAGGTTTACAGTTGATACATTTCCCTTCTGAAGAGACGAAAAAAGACCTATTTTTGCTTGTCAGACTTTAAAAATGTTTTTTCTTTTTAATCTGTGAAATGATATACAGTTCAATCTCAAAGTGTGAAGTTGGGCTTCACAGTGAATCAAAATCTACACCTTTTCTGTATTTGAGTGCTTTTCCCAGACAAGCATCCACTGGTTATTAGCGAGTGTTTCAAACGTGGTCTGAAAATTAGGGTTAATTTTGGGTATTTTCTCTGTTTTGGAATCTGTAGTTCAAAGATGGGCTTGTTTTTTTTATATTTTTTTTTTCACAAAAGTTTATTTTATTTATTTTTACTTGAAGATACTGGTATTTATTGCTGAATAGCAGTTCTGTATTATGTTTGTCTTCATATCAGTTTAGTTTGATTTTAGACATTGTTTCATTTCAGACTAACAGAAAATGTCTCCACGTTGTTCTTCCCCATAGTATGGCTAGACGAGGTAAGATGAGGTGTGCTTAGACAAGAAATATTTGAGACTGGAAATTGGATCAACTTGCATCACCAAAGGACCAGATTGATGAATCTGGGATAAAAATGTCTCAGTTCAGTTGGGCCTTGTAGAATAACTTTACAGAGAAAGGAGAATAGCACCTCAGATGTTAGCATGTACATGGTTAGCTAATCTGGCTGTTGGTAGCTTCAAGTTAATCAAGGTGTCAGTCTAAATAAATCCTTGTCTGAACAGTTAATTATTATTATTTTATTATTATTTTATTATTTTAGTGTCATGGTGGCTTGAGTGTATTTTGTTCAGAGAATGCACTGTGAGCACTCGGAATGTGGGTGTGTGTGTGTGTTTGTGTGCATATGTGTGTATGTGATTGGAATATTTGCTCAATATAGCAAAGGTAAAAACACTGCCCTAGTAAAAAGAAATAAACATGTCACTTCACAAGGAAAGTCCCATTGCCTTTTGCATGCCCCTTGTGATTATATCAAAAGGCTTTGTTAAAAAATAACATGATTTATATACCCATCACTGTTGGTAGCTAGATCACCTTTTCTTTGAAATAGTCTACTTATACAAGCTGTAATATGTTATGATGTATTTCAGAGTGTGGAATTAGACGATGCCACAGCAGATCTCTTCAAAAACATGGTGTATATGCCCATAACAGCCACCACTGTGGTACAGTATGCCTGTTTTGGGTTGGGAGGAGCTCTCATTCTTATATCCATCATTATAGCAGCAGTCAGATATAAAAAGGTAAATAAAATGTTTTTACCCTTTATATGGTGCAGTTCATTAGAAATGCAATCTAGATATTACAATTATTTCTCCTGTCACCATGATTTTTACTTTGAAGGTTGAGTTGAAATTTTCCAAGACATGAATTTCTTTAAAATTAATGTCAGAAAAGCAAGTTTAATATTAAATATTTCCTGTTATTATCATTTTATTTATCCTGAAAAATTATTTATCTACATATATAATTATGTCAACTCGGTTATTCACAGCAATGCATAACAGCAATAACAAACAAAATGAGGTTTAAAAAATATAAGTTTTTTATTACATTACAGTGGAAAGAGAATCAGTCCAAGCTGGAGTCGGAGCGTCTACTCAATAACTGAGATGCTTTCAGTGTTATAACATAAATATTCCATGGCAACTTATATACAGGAAAAATGCTCATTCTTTTAAATGCCAGTCATTTGTGACAGTCATAGTGAAATACAATATATATATTGTATATGTTCACATATGACCACATAAAACAGAATTTTCACATCCTAGTCCTCCTTTCAAGCAAATATGAACTGATTTTTAACAGTTCTAATTGTAATACAGTTGGTTAGCCAGTCAAGGAATGACAATTTATCACTAAGTTAGTTAAATGTATTAGTTAGTTATTGAATGTATTTTTCAAACAATGTACCTTTTATAATTTAAGAAATAAGCGCTCAGAAATTTTTATTGTTTTCTGATCTACAGACATTTCTGTAACTTTTAGTCACTGATCCTGACGTAACTTGGAAAAAATTGCACTGTTTAAATGTATGGGTTATTGCCATATCAAAGTGAATGTGGCGATGTTTAGCAATGGATATTGTTCGAAAAGATCTTAATATGGTTCTGTTGACGCTACGCGCAACAGTAATTCAGGGAATTAAGCCTTATTTCATTTTTTTTTTTGTTGGCAAGTTAATGTGATGAGTCCAAATTTCAGTTTTATGTGCGTTTTACAGTCCTGTTACTCATTAAGCATTCATAAGAAATGGGCATAAGGAAGTGAATGCTGCCAGGCCAGTTCTGCAAGGCTGAGTGATAAATTTTAAGTCATCTTCTCTATGAAAGGAATTTTGGTGATATCGGAATACATTTAAGGGGTTCTCACTTATTTACCGACACCGCCAAATTGTTTTCTAATGGGATCCATACTCTGTGAAATCCTGGATACGTGTCAAAACTGCAAAGACGGTATTCGTGGTTTCAGATTTTTTAAGGGTTGATCTCACTGTTAGGCCTATTTATCATTGAGGACATGCAAACTATTAAGTGTAACTTGCTCCTCGAAGTCAAAAGGAAAATATTGATGTGATGTGTTGTGTTTGAGAATTGTTGTACTATGTGTTTACAAATATATTGTGGCTTGTTATTAATTATGTACAGTAATAAAACTGACCAACAGAACAATTTGAAGTTTTCAAATAACTAGTCTTAATACCGCTGTTGGTATTGCTGTTTGACATGAAATTGTTCTTTATATGGAATGTGGTGTGAATTTTCACCCACCTTTATTAAAACTATTATAACGATAAAATTGTTGTAACAGTTTTGTAAATGAATAAATGAGAAAAAAAAGTATACGTAATTGTGGTTTGTTGCAAGGAGGCCGTACGTGTACCTTCAGTAAGTAATAAGAGAATTATTGTGATTTGGAATTATTTAACAAAATTAACGAAAACAAATGAAAGTATTCTAGCGGTATTATGCGATCTCAAAGTTACGAATTATACTTTTTTAAACTATGAAAAGATGAAGAAAATAAGCCAGATTCCCTTTGATCTGTGATCTGTTAATGTGTAGACGTCTTAGTTTCTAGCCACTGCCGTCCGTCGCGGTCTAAAAATGTTAAACAAGTTATTTTAACAAACCTAGCTAATTTTGTACATAAAAAATATCTAATGATTAATGTCAAGTTTGGGCGTTTTAACGGGGTAAATGGCCACTACATTTGGTCCTTTTTGCATTCTTTTTTAATGAGTTGGTTACAAATTGAAAAGAAATCTCTAGGTCAAGAAACCGCACCCACGTTTCTTAATTTGCGGTAAAATTTGATTATTTTACAAGGCGGCGTTTTGATCAACTCTAGCTTATCGATTTTTCTAAATCTACAGTCGCAAAGCATGATCAAACGTGTGTTAGTTTTATTGATTTTAGTTTTATTTGTTTAGATTATAAATTGCGTTAACGCCACAATAAAACAGTGCAGTGCTTGATATTAATTAAAGCTTATATTACCGTGAAAGACAGTTCCATTACTCTTGCGGTAAAATGTCTATTACAGCAAATTAATGCGATATAAAAAAGAAAATTGGACAGTTAAATGCTTTTTTTTTTCAATAAGAAGAGTTAAAAATTTCGTTTCGGGTGAAGGGTCCCCCTTATAAAATCTCAAGTCACCTTACACTTGTCTTATTTACTATTGCGCCGTGAAACTCGGTAAGATCCAGTAATATTTCACGAAGATGCGACTGACGATTATCCGTCTGTTTCTACTGGCCGCAGGTAACTTTATTTCGATTTTTCTTTATAAGTTAAGCAGAGTTCAAAGTGCTTAGAGCCAAGCTGGGAGACGTCAGGTACCGTTTACGAAGAATTGATATGTCCCCGGACGAGGTCAAATCGCGTCCTCCCGCTCTGGCAGCGGGCACTCTGACCACAAGGCCACTCAGAATACGGAAAATCTTATTTTTTCAGTTAAATGGCGCGTGTGCTTGTGTACTTGTGTGTTTGAGAAATAAGTGTTAGATCGTTTGCGTGAATATAAAAAGTCTAGAGGCGTGGCACAAAATGAAAAAAAAAGAAAGAAAAGACAAAAATGATAACATTTTCCACCACTAGGAGAGTCTGTGGTGAGTGGTCTCTTGCTTTGATTATCTTTATTACTTCAATGAGTTATCTTAAACAAAACCTAATTACAAGTGGTATAAAACTTTTTTGTGGCAAGAATTTGCAATAAATAAATGAATAAATGAATGAATGAATAAAAAGTTTGCCGTCACAGTTCTAAAATGTTATCTTTAAATGTTTTGTGAATGCTGATGTAAATGCAATGAATAAATTTGCGCAAATTTCAGATACATCTAAAAATCCACTACTTATTCACCCCTATCTCACTGTAATTATAATTCCCTTTTTTTACTTCTCCGACAGTATTATCCGTGTCCTCCGCAAATCTAGATGTGACGGCGCAGTCGGTCTGTGCGTCCACGTTACCCACGACGTTCCCTGCCGTGGTCTACGCCATCCGCCGCCTACCCACCGACCCAAGCTGTAATAACCTGTGCAGTGCACGGCTCGTTGATTTACCGTGTCCCTGTGGAGGACAGTGCATTTGTCCTAACTGGTAAGGCAGTACTTTCACTCCCAGGTGAAAAATCTCGATTGTGCAAAGTATTATAGTTTTTGATTTTATATTTGTTCGTGCGATACTGGCCGAATTTCTTGATTATTTATTTATTTATTTATTTATTTATTTATTTATTTATTTATTTATTTATTTATTTATTTATTCTTTCGGTGGTTGATTCAGTGATTTATTTGTTCATACAATCTTTCATTCATTGGCATCTGTCGATCAGTCTGCATGGATTAGTATGTTTTCAAACCCTTTTTCCCATTATTTGATTATTTTCTTACTTATTCATTTGTCATTTTACGGGAATTTAGTTATTCGTTGACTTAGCTTATTCCATCCATTTCTCTTCCATATTGAAGTTGCAACCTGGAGTGTTTCAATGCGCTGACTGTGGATGCGGCGCCGGCCGTGCTCTCCGGAAATGCCCCGGACCCACGCAGTGTGGGGATACGCACGGGTGTGTGGCACCAAAGGGGGTGCGGTATAACGCAAGGTGAGTGCCCTGGGTTTGGGGTAAGTTCTAGATTTTCGCATATTATGCAAGTCCATATTCTCTCTCTCTCTCTCTCTCATACTGGGACGTTTTTCCTATCTCTCTCTCTTTTTTTTCAAATATTTAACAATTACATCTCAAATTCATTTTTTCAGGACCAAACTACTGCTGCTGCCGCTCCCGGCAGTACCTAGCGCCTTATCTCGGCGGCCCAGTTCCCCCGACCACCCCGGCTACTACCACAGCGAGGACCACCACCCCCTGGGGATTTCCTTGGCCCTGGCTGACCTTCCCGGCCACCACCACCATGACCACCTCAAACCCCTGGAATTTTCTTTGGCCTTGGAACTCTGGGGACTCTCCGAGCCTTCCTTGGTTGTCGAATAATATTGGAAAAAAGAAGAAATGAAGCGGGAGGCGGTATCTGGACAGTCAAAGATACTGCACGAAGGCGCCCTAGAAATTTGAACAATGTCAAGTAATTCGTTTGAGCGATGGAATTTGAGTCTTGAATCGTAGAAGTGAATGTGGCACTTTTGAAGGGAATGAAATGCAATTTACCTTTACAGTGTGAATCTCGAAATATAAATCCAGCTTTAAGATTGCAATTCCTTCATGCAATTAATTAATGAATTAAGTAACTAAACCAGTATCTTGTAGCACTTTTGTCAAGTGTTTTAAGGGATAGTTCATTGTTTTTTATTGCCATGGCAGCGTGTTGCCCGTAAAATGACCAGCTCAACTAGCATTTTGGAACATGCTTTGGTCGCACTCTCTAATCACAAGTAGATATGGTGTGTCACAAAATTACTATACCTTAAATCAGTCTGCTATTTTAGAGGCTCTCGATACCAGAGGGGACTTATACTTTGCCTTCACAGGTCGTTTGCGCACTACAACTCTATATATTTCCATTCATGGTGGAAAATGGATTTTGTGTAAAATAATAAAAAGTAACTCAAAATAAAATAATCCAATATCAATTTATTTTCACCATCCACGACGATGCTGCTATAACATATTTACAATTCCTTTTTATAAAATGAATTTTTCCACTATCTGCATATTCGTTCTAAAATACTCTTCGATAAAAGTATTCTAAAATTCTTACTGAAGACATTCAATGTAAAAGGCTGAAAAGATTTCAGACGCCAGAACCGTAGTCACATTGGTTTTAACTGGGTATAATTAACTAATTAACATACGTTGTTCATTACACAAGAACAAAACTGGATCAATTGTATTGCCTAGTAGAGAATTATGTTGACAATACCTGATTAATGTTAGTAGAGTGACACCTGAAGACGACTTAAATTTTTGTAAATCTGGGTGTATGCACTTATGAAAAGCAAAGGGAAAATGAAGCATTACATCAACCTGACCAAGCATTTGATATACTTAATATACTCGGTTACACTAAACTGATATTGAGTAGACAATTCCCAAAAATATATTCAAAATTGTAATAAAAAGACGACCACCTCTTAAAGTTCATTTAGTACCTTATGTTGATGAATGATGTTGATGAATATTGAACAGAAATTATACTGTAATGTGTGTGAAATTTGAGGTATTATGATGGAGGTGAAACTAAGTAGTCGCCAAACAAAACTTGATACATTTCTACAATCAAGTTGGAATAAAATGAACACTAAAACCACTTATGTAAAAATTGGCTCAAGAAAATGACATCATGTTCACTTTAGTAACCTTGTATGGTCTACCATCCAACATAGGGTGCCTTTTTCTACATAAATTTACTAGTCAAACTATTTATGAAAAAAAGAAAAAAAAACTGGTTTTTGGAAGAAAACAAAACACACTACATTGTTCTAGTTCAGGGAAATTGGGGCAGGGTGGTAGAGGCAGGAATATTATACAAGGGTTAAGTGCTATTTACCCCTGTCAACACCCATACCCTTTCTTTCATCATAAAAGAAAGAGCAGTTTTCTGACTGGATATCAAATTAAATGATAAAGTTATATTCAACAATGGTTATATAAGTAAACTTGAACACAATGTACAATCAATATGTTTAACTGAAGACTTGTAACAGTGCAGGTAAATCTAAAAAAAAAATAAATATTGAACATCTTCATTTTCTTCTGCCAAACATAATATTATTTCATAATCCACTAACTCATTAACATAAGAACTGCATTCATTCCAACACGCCCCTTTCATTCATTTTCACAGCCACTCCTCACTTTCCTACCAAATATCCCAAACAGTCAAGATAATTAGATTAATGTTCACATATGACCATAAACACGATTTTGACCAAAAACAGAATTTTCACATCCTAGTCCTCCTTTCAAGCAAATATGAACTGAATTTTAACAGTTCTTATTGTAATACAGCCAGTCAAGGAGGTATTGGTCGATAACCATTCTGCCAAACACACATGGTCAACCTCAAGGAAAAATTACACCTTGCGCGTCCGCTTTGAGAATCGTGGCGTCTTGGGTTCCGTGAGGGGCTTATCGCTGGGCATAACCTCAACGGTGTTATACTTCCGCACAGGGTTTGGCTTGTGGACCATCTCTTTACGAAGCCTGGCAATTTCAGCCTTCTCTTCCTCCTCCCTTTCTCGCTCCCTCATTTTCTGGATAAGGGCTATTTCTATTTCCTTCTCCTTTTTATGCATCTCGAACCCCTGTCGTTCTTCAGCCCTTCGTTCAGTGTACAGTTCTATATTACTGACGTCTGGAAGTTATTAAACATTCCATTAAAAAATTTGATAGTCTCTCAAGGTCTTGGAAATCATTTCTAGACTATTACGTTAAAAAATCCATTCTCAGCCAAAAGTATAGAAAGACCACAAGCCTGACTTGGTTGGTCAGAGCCCACTTACCTGTGAGAGCTTTGTTGGATTTTTTGGGTACAAATGGGGCCTCGTGCAGTACCTTGCTAGGCTTGGCTTTGAAGATCTTTGCTGCTCTCTCCTGCTTCAAACTTTCCTGCACCTGATATGGGTAAATATACAGCAATAAAGTTAGCTAAGTAATATCTTACATTACAACCTAACACTATGAAGCTAGCAGTGCATGATTTATGAACCTTGGCTTGTTTCACCGAAAATGCACTAAAAAAAAATAATAAAGAAAGAAAAATCACTATAGACAATCAACAACAATAAATTATTAATAATATAATTATGATTTTAATAAATATATTATTTTATAAATTTATATTTTATGGAGTTTAATTATTTATCTTATGTCCCAGCTAGCAATGTCATGGGTTGAGAAATATTTTCATTAATTTGTGTTTCTTTAAGGGGACACCAAGGAATACAACAATTATGGTTAAACTACACAATTTTATATTACCAAGTCACCAAATCTACTTTTAAGCTGCCTTGTGGTAAAAGTGAAAGACCCACAAGGAAGACATAGCCTTAAAGAAACCAATCCGCCCTGTCCCTACCTGCTGTGCCCATTCCTCGGCCCTTTTGGCTCCTCGATGGTCAATTTCCAGTTTGAAGGGCTGAGGCTCCGTGATCATCACTGGATTTTTGGATGGAATTCCTTTTGGGGAGTTTGACGGGAGCGGCTGTGCCTGGAACTCCCGGGCCTAGGGGGGAAAGTACGAGATGTTCACCAAAATCAGTAGCACGTTTAAAAATAACAAAAGGCCAACTTTTTTGTCGTTAGTTAGTTGTTTTGAACCCTTATTCTTAATGTTCAAATTTTCTTAAATACTGCCAACAATTTATTTGGGAAATACAGCACGAGGTGTTTTGAGCCATTTTCCAAGCTTGGCATGGAAAGATTGTCCTAAATCAATGTTTAAAGCAAGGACAGGCATAATTTCACCAATGGGGTCTGCCAAAGTACTGGGACTGACTAGTTCTTACCCAGACGCCGCAAAGCCTCATGCTTTATCTCACCTTTCTCTCTTCTTCCAAAACTTTATTAAGCTTCTGCTCCTTTCTTGTCAACATCTCTTGTGTATGACACTCCACACTGGGGAAGGGCTGAGGCTGGGTGGCCTCGTGGTTCAACTTGGGCTGGAAGACAAGGCCTGTGTGTGGGAGGGGACGTGCCTTGAAGACCTCCTCATGCTGGAAATCCCATAGAAGAATGGCACGTTAAATAAAATGTATCATATCTGGGTACACCTTTCTTAAGTTTTAAAAAGTAATTGATTAAATAATAGGTCCCTCAACACAGATGTCTAACTTGCCCCGATGCTATATCTCCCTCTGTGCTCTCTCACTCACTAACCAAATGGAATCAGAATGGAAAATTTTGTGCCAGAAAAATATATACAGTATTTGTTTATGTTCAATTTAATGAAATTATTATAAATTTAATTTAATCTTTATGAAATAGTTTGTTGTTTCCCACTGAGATAATGCTCACATTTCTTTAATTTTTCAACTGATTCTCTTACATTTGGGCAAATTTTTCTTCATAAACTAATTTTGCAAAGAAAACAATTGAGCAGTTACACTCTTAACAAATATGATATATATGACCAATGCCAATCAATTTGTGGTTTAAAAAAACCTCCAAAGAACTCACCTTTTCCTCCTCTTTCTCATCTCTGCTTCTGTTTTTCATCTCCTGCAGCCTGCGATCTGTCTCAAAATCAAAGGGCTTGGGCTCTGTGAGATTCTTGGAGGCCACCTTCTTCACTCCCATGCTGGGGTTGGTGAAAATCCTGTGGTCCAATTTGGTTGCCTTAAATACATGCCTGCAAATAGCATGAAGATTAACTCAGCATCATATACAATAATAGTCCTTAGATCAATGATGTATGCTTTTATTCCTGCAGCATTTGTCTTTGCAGGTTTTTTTCTCACTGTAGTAACTGTTCAAGAATTCCAAACTTTTATTCAATATAACATTCTCGGTTACACAAATAAACAAGTAACAAGTAAACAGTTATACAAGTAAATAAGAAAACAATCTCAAAAGCAGGAACAAAATACCCATACCTGAACAAAGTGGGAAATACTGCAGTGTTGCAAAACTTTCTAAAGGAAAGGACACATTTATTTACAGAATACTTACTGTTTCATTTCCTCCACTTCCTTCTCTTCTATCTCTTGTTTGCTTATGGCAGATACGGGCCTCTTTCGGCTCTTTGTTTCAAACTGTGGAGGCTTAGGGACAGTAAGTCTGGGAGAACCCTTCTTCTGGGCTGGGGCAGGCTCTGGAATAAAACACACCCCTCAGCTATAACTTTGAATCCATCATCTCAGCAGCTCATTCCCATTAAAACAATCATTCTGCATAGATTCATAGATCAATCCAACTCTGTGGGGACTCTTGCTGAATGCAATAAGTTTAACAGATTTAACACACCTCTTGCTTCCAATGTGCTCATATAATCATCTGCTTTTTTGTGTTCTGCTCAACACCAGGAGGGGGTGTGTTAATCTGTTAAACTGACTGCATTCAGCGAGAGTCCCCATAGAGTTTGATTTATCTATATAGACTGAAAGTTTCAATGGGAATGAGCCTTAGGAGTTCAAATTAAAATGTGTGACAAACACCAAAGCTTCAGCTGTACAATATCAAAAGTCAAAATACCTAAGCATTCGATCTCACAATTTAAGTTAATCCAATTTCTGGTAACAAGAAATCCTTATCTAAAAGGGTCCTTAAATGAACAATCCAGATTCTGCTTTGTTACCTTTGCTCTTGTTTCTGAATCTGTCTGGGGTCTTGCTCTGAAACTGGATGACTTTCTCCGCCACGGAGGTAAACTTGTGACCTTCCTGTTTATCACCATTCCCATCCTTGCTGAGCTTCCTCTTACGGTTGTCAGAGAGGCTGAACGGCTTCGGGATGGTGATGCCTTTGTGTGCTTTTGCCTGTGAATGCAAGATGCCGTGAATTAATAGCCACAAAACAATCTTCACTTTTTTGAGGTAAGAGTTTCATTACTGACTTAAGCATCCAAAAACATAAAGCATAAGTCAAGGCCATTTTAATTTCTCTGTTAGATACTCCTTGTACTGGGTCAAAGAGAAAGACAAAGTTGTTGGCAGATGCAAATATTCATATCTCAGCACAACAAGGATCAAGTTGAACCATCTCAGTAAGCTTTTATTTTTGGCACAGATGAGCTGAACTGAGATTTGCTGATACTCCCCTTAAACATAATAAAAATGCAACGCAAAAAGACTGACATTTTTGCCAACATAAACCAAGATTAAAACTTCTAAAGGACAAAAGCACTATGGTAACTGCCACAGATTTCAAAGCTATCAGTGGTCCAAGCTAGGTTTATATAAAAAAACTGATTGGTATTTGAATCTGATCTGTGAACTGAAACAGCACTTACATTGGGCTGGCTGTAATGGCGGAGTCCAGACTGGAAGTCTTGCTTGTCCTGCCTGGTCTCCATGGTGTGGACCTTCACCCGGCTGTCAGTCTCAAAGTGAAACTCCACAGGTCTGGTGAGCTCCACCTTGGAGTGAGGCACAGTGTAACCTGGGGAGGAATCCAAGAAGCAGACATGAGCATAGGCTGTTTGATAATTTAAATAAATAAGTAAATAAACCAAAAATGCTGTTTAAGATTAATGAATAGCAGGATATGACTAACCCATCATTCCATATACATCGTTTGCTTTTATCACCATTTTCTCTGTGGCCTTAAACTTTATTTTATCACAGAATATGGCTAAATTATTTATTTTCCTGTCCTGAAACTCTACTTATATCAACAAATATGCAAAGGGAGAAAACATACTAATTAAATGAGACTTCCACCACATTAGTTATCTCTGAGGCTGAAAGTTAAATTATTATTATTATTTAAAAAATGAAAATAAATAAATAAGTGGCAAGTAAATACATAAAAATATATAATTTTACCCTGGGAAGCTTGTGCCTGCTTGTATGAAGCTTGAGACATTTTTTTCTTTTCAGCCAGCTGATGTCTCATTTCATTAATTCTTTCCATTTCCAAGTCTTCCGTACTTTTAATATCAGCTGTTTTGTGTGCACTCCTCCTGAGTGAGTGAAAAAAAATCATAAAATTTTACTGTCATATTCATACAAGTACAAAATACCTGTTCAAAAAGTTTCAGAAGTACAACATTATATATTGCAGGGTGAATCATTACAAGGCTGTCAAATTGTTCAATTAAAAAAAAAAAAAATTGGGAAAAGAGTCCCTATTTCAGTCATACCTCATAAAGCTAGGTGTATTGGGGATGGTGAGTTTGGGTGGTCCTTTTATAACTGGGACAGCCACATTTTTATTGTTGGCCTCCCGACTCCTGCCTCTGGCTGAGGACAGACTGTGGGTGCTGCTGTTGTGACTGCTGTTGTGACTGCTGTTGACCATGCGCCTCTTCTTAGCTGCCGGAGTTCTGTAGAAGAAAAAAAAACATACTAAGTAAGAAAGCCATCTTCGAACAGGCTCACAAAAATTTTAACCCCTTTTTAGGAAACATTTGGAATAAAAAACTGTCATTTTAGAACCTTCTGAAAACATTCCCAAGTCACCAGGTCATAAAAACATCAAAAATATCATACAATGACAGGATAATTTATTTTATAGAAGTTATTATCAGGGACCCATAATTCTGCAGTAATGTAAGAAATAAAATACCAATTTTTCCTTTTCTTACCCAACTGATGCAGCCCTGGGTGCTCTTGGTGTTCGTCGCAATGCTGGTGACCTGCTCTGTCTGGCTGCACGTATTGAGCGACTGCAACTGGAGGGATAGAATTTCATGAACATATAACAGACAAAATGTTTACACAATGAATTATACACAATCTTCATATTGAAGTAGTTATCCCCCCTTCGGCTCCCCATCACAAAAAGGACAAGCTTTTCCAAAGTCTAACCTTCCCAAGAAGAAAAGAAGAGGCCAGTATGACAACATCTCATCTCTTTGTACAACACCTCTTGAAAGTCTGAATCTGCTACTGCAGCCAGGATTAAAGATGAAAATGTTTTCCCCTTAAGAAATCTGAAAACATTTACCTATTAGATCTACCACCATGCTTAGGTTTTGCATCATTCCATGCTGAGAGGGAAGTCACAAGGTTTGATGGAACTTTTAACTTTGTCTCAGCAATTGCCTCTGTTTTACTGTCTAAATCTTTTTGATCACCCTGTTTTTCTTCAGACTTTAAGCTGGCTCGTGGTTCCCTTCTTGGGGTTGTCTTTGGAGAGGAATGAACTTGTTTGCTGTTTTGCAAACATTTAAGAATTTGTCTTTCAGATTTTCTTTTCCCCTCTGATTTTGGTGTTTGCGCCAGCCTGGAGTTGCTTCTACTGGACGGCAGGCTTTTTTCACGCTCTTCATTAACACAATCTACAAGGAAAATAAAATAATTTCAAGAACAAAATCAAAAAATTTGTCTCTATTTATCAATATCACTGTAACTAAGGGTGATTTTGACAACAACCTTAAGAAAAATGACAATTAATAAAAATAGTCTGTGTTATGAATGACTGTGTATAGAGATAATAGCACAGTTCAGCTGAAATTTTTCCTTTTACTCATGAGGTGAGTCGATTAAAATAAGTTTATGCATTGTTACCATTTGGTTGATGTACTGAACTAAACTCATTCTTGTTAACCTTTTACTGAGATACCATAAACAAAACTATGTATCTTGGCGAATTTAAAACGATACTCACCAAACCATTCATCCGCATTATCATCCATCGGGATGGGTGCGCTGAAATCAACGAATTGCGGAGCTTCAAATTCCCAAAGATCTTCGTCCATTGTAATGCTTTACCTGTAGCCTATTTATCCTTTTTAAAACAAAAAGAGTTAGGTGTGCTGTCCTGAGGAAAACTTGCTTCTCTCTAACAACAATTTCAAATCGCCGCTGTTGCAGGTTTGAGTATCAACCAATGGGAGCGATGGTTTCAATGATTTGCAAGGCTGAAGACAAGGCTTTGATTGGTTGACAAAACTCGGCATTGTCCGGTAAAATCCGTCACTTAAATTTATACGATTATAATAAAGTTTCTTTGCTTAAGATATGAAGATATGTGTCAATTCTGACCTTATGCTAAATTACTTGGTCATGTGAAAATTCTTATGGTTAAAACTATCCATTTCCTATATAAGTAGGTCATTCAAGGTCGTTGCCTATTTTTGGTGACCTAAACGTCTGAAGGTGCAAGTCATAAAGATAAGTGCGTGTTACTGGTAAGTTTATTGTTGTGAACCTAAAATACAACAGCAACTTCAATCTTCTTCAATATTGGCTCTTAATTAATTTTTATTGTTCAATTATAGGAGATAATGGGAATATATTGAAGTTGCGATTAGTGGGTATTTAAAAGTCTTTTTTTAAATCTTTTTACATAAAAAGTAATTTTGTATATGAGGTGAATAATGCAGGTTTGTATTCATTATTTCAGTAATTCTATACTGTAAGTATGGATTTTAACCAAAGTGTGAAGAAAGACGATCATGTTCTGTTGTTGTGGGGCAGCAGTAATTCCCCAGCCACACTGCAAGAAGCAGTGACACAGCTACAGGATGTGGTGGGCCAAGGAGGCAAGGTCCAGGTGGAACATACAGAAAGGTTGATGTTGTGTAAGTATCAGTTTGTGTACAGGCTTAGAGGTCTACATTTATATTGTTAACATCCTAGATCAGACATGAGCTTTTTCTGTGGAAAAGCGGAGTTTGTTTTTTAATTCAATTCTGATGGTTCCTGAGATTCGTCAAGGTTAGGTGTAGGGTCCAATGATAAATGTTCAGAGTTAAAACCTAGGCTCTATTAGATATATGTTGAAACATACAGTTTCTGAGCTTCCATTTCTTTACCAAATGCCCAAGATAAACCAATATTTGCACATAGAAAATGTTAGATAATTTTGATGTCATGTACCATTTTTTTATTAAATGAAAAAGATAAATTGGCCTACATAAGAAGTATATTTGACTTTCACGTTGTTGACTATCATTTAGGTGGTATCATTTATGTCTGAATAAAGTCTACCAGTGACGAAGGCTACTTATGTTTGTTCAAATCATGTTGATGAATCTATATGATGCATGCAGATATTGAAATGATTGACCTAAGGTGTTTAAGATTTCCTTTGCTTTTGTGCAGAAAACTTCTTCTCATTATATCATACACATACGGAGTTGATGAACATTTTTCAGTAAGCTAGTTTATGAATAATTTTTTTTTTAAATTTCAGCCAATCACCCAGCATCCACATTTGACACGGTATTGTCTGGTGCTGTCAGTCCTGTTGCCTATGTCCACAGTGCTGAAGTCACATCAGAAATAGCCAAAATTTTAAAACCAAATGGAACATTTGTGTTGAGAGAACCATTGACAAACACAGAAAATTCCTCAAAGCTTCGGACACCAAAGAAACTGATGTCGGCTTTAAAATTGGCAGGATTTGTAAATATTTCAGAGGTAATGTTTATGTGCTTGTGTTTTTGCTTGTACATGAGTGTTTCACTAAATGACTTGGTAAATGTTTGACAAGTTATTTCCTATTATATCAAGATAATCTAATGAAAAGTCAATTCATAGATATTGAGAGTGTTCAACAATTTGCATTTTGATGAAACTTTCAGATAAAAAGACTGTGATCATGATTTGACTACATGAGCCTCTGAAAAACAATTAAATGCATGTGTTGGAAAAGCAAAATGCCATGTGCAATTTCCCATTTACAACATTGAAAAGAAATGACACTATTGTCTCTGTCTCTGAAAACAGTTTTCTATGTATCTGTGTAAAACGAACAAAAAATTTTTTTTCCTGATTTCTTTCTTATGTTGTAAGGGACATTCAGATTTTATGACATGTACTGTGTTATAATGTCCTAAATAAATTATTATTATTATTTATATTGTTAAGTCACAATTCATATTGTGTAGTGGTAAATACTTAGGCATGATCTTTTGTGGCAACAACTTAAGCAATTTGCATAGAATTCTCGCAGTGTTATTATTATTATTATTAGTATAATATGGATGTGGTTTTAATTCATTCCAGCCAGAAGTGGTCAGTCTAACAGATGATGACAAGTCCCAGTTAAACTCTCTCCTTGGTGCTGGTGACGTCTGTCTGGTTCAAATACAGGGGTCTAAGCCCGCCTATGAAGTGGGTGCAGCCTCCCAACTCAAACTATCTTTTGCTAAAAAAACAGGTACAGATCAAAAATTGCTGTTATTCATTTAATTTTTATTGTTAGAAGAATACCTGTGAAATGTATGACTTTGATGATTTAAAAAAATTTTTTTAGTGTTGAAATGAAGTAATTTTAATTAAAATTTGAGCTTTACTACACTGAGCAAAAATGTAATTTCCCCATGTGAATTATTTATGCAACATGTAATGGGCTACTGACATTTATCTGAAGCTACAAACAGTACAGAAAGTAATCTAGCATAATGAACAACAAAATTCATTTTTTGATTTAATATATACATATATAACCCATAAATCTGATAAAATGTTTAAAGTACTGCATGGGGCATTTATATTTTTGATCAGTTTTAAGATGAAAATCCTGTTATGAATTATAAATGTGTGTTCCAGAGAAGCCCAAGGTGGACCCCAGTGCTGCCAAAGTGTGGACGTTATCAGCTAATGACATGTTAGATGGTGACATAGAACTGGTAGATGATGATGACCTGCTAGATGAAGATGATCTTAAAAAGCCTGATGCAGATTCTCTTAAAGGTGCCTAATTAGATAGTTGAAAATTATGATTTTTTGATGGTAAAATATTTCCATTTTGAAAATTGAGAAAAGTAATTGTTTTGAATTTAGTACAGTTTTTAGAAATGAAAACCAAAATTGATAACAGGGATAGAATGAAGTAATTTATTTTTCTTTAGTCAACAACAAATTTTGAAAAGGAGCAGCATAGATCATTTTTTTAAGTTAATTAGTTACTTTATTCTTCTTATTATTATTATTATTCAGCCTGTGGTCCCGCTAGGAAGAAGGCTTGTAAGAACTGCACCTGTGGCTTAGCTGAAGAACTGGCAGAGGGTGGACCAGAGCAGAAAGCTCCAAAACAGAAAGCTGCTACCTCAGCTTGTGGAAGTGTGAGTACTCAGTGATTAGTATTTATATCTGAAAAATGTTATTTTCTTGATAAATATGGATCTCTCTCTCTCTCTCTCTCTCTCTCTCTCTCTCTCTCTCTCTCTCTCTCTCTCTCTCTCTCTCTCTCCATTTATTTTATTTTAGAAACTTAAAATGATAACACCAGATATTGGAATATATTTACTGTTTGCAAAATGCAATATTAAAATCTGAATTTTTTCACCCAGTAACACAGTAAACTCTACAGTGTGTGTGAATACATTTTTGCATTATTGCATGCATTTGTGTGTGAAAAGAATGAAAAAAGAGGTGTTTAATAATTTTTTGAATTAATGTAATTAAACTGTAATTAATGTAATTATACTGATAATATATTTAAGACAGACTTAATATTTAGTGGAATGATTAATTGTTAATCCTCGTGTTTCAGTGTTATCTTGGAGATGCCTTCAGGTGTGCCAGCTGCCCCTATCTTGGGATGCCAGCTTTTAAACCAGGAGAAAAGATTGAACTATCAAACAGGCAATTGAAGGCTGATGCTTGATCTTTAACTAACCGCCACTGAATGAGATATGAGAACAGTGCCCCGTATCTCGAAAGCATCGCGTATTGCGAATAGTGATATCACATAGATGCTACAATGTATTATATAGGGCGAGTATGGGAGAGTTATGGAATCCAGACGCTTGCGCTCGGTCGTAATGTGCGATGCTTTCAAGTTACAGGCCCCTGGAAGTGCAGGGCTTTCTGCTATTGCAGCTCTCATATCATTGTCTCATTTGAACTAAAAACCATAAAAAAGGAATGAGTATGACACACATTACTGTATTTTCTGCCATTGCTGCTCTTGTGTTATTAACTCTTTTTAACTAAAAATGACTGCCACTTCTGAAAGCAGTGGCCAATGAAAGCAAAGCGTTCCATACTTAATTTCATTGTTATATATCATTTGATAATAAGTGCTATTTATATGACAGTTTTTCAAGCTTAAGTTGTAGCCATTACAACACGGCGGTAGCTATGAGAGGAATAAAAGAGAGAGTGCTGGATATTTATGTTTAACAGGTAGCCTAATGATTATTTATTTGAGAGAGAGAGAGAGAGAGGTGGGTGGGGGGGGGGGAGAAAGGGAGAGAGCAGTTTCCATACAGAGGGGGGTGGAACAACACGTTTTTAAAGTGTCAAGACAGATAACCAAATTTTAATTTTTTAATTGTAAAAAACTAATCTTTTCTTCATAGAATAAGTTTGATAAGCTAATTTTGTTAAATAGAGACGTTGATATGATTGGAAGCTGAAATGATGGTAAATGAATTTGCCTGAAGTCTTCTGCATATTCTTGCGCTTTTCTACTATTAACAGGACCAATGTTATTACCATGTGTGACAGGAATGGTAGTGCTAGGTTAGGGTTAGCTGGAAGTATAACACCCAATTTCCATAGATTAGATCGACCTACTTTAGATCGACCTAACTCCCTGGGGGTTCACGCTAAATAGGTGTCAGCCGGGCGGACACGAAAGTTAATTACCCTCTTACAGCTTGTAGTAGGCGGGACGGACATTTAAGTCGGATTATCTGAAAGTAATCTAGTGAGACTCCCCGCGGGGATAGATCGATCTAAAAACTATGGGAATAGAGCCTAAGACTCGGTATATGGGACGTACTTGGGACGAATGTCACCTATACAAAGTAATGCGGATCGGACTAAAGTACCTAGAGGACTACAATATCTTGTACCGAGTTAAAAAAAAAAGTTCCTGATAGAACATGATCATTGTTTTATTTCTTTGTTGAAAAGTGGAAATACCAGTAATTTCCAGACAGTTTATACTGAAAAGAATTTAACTCAAATTCAATATAAACATTTAAGATGAATGGAGTTATTTATTCAGTCGTTTAAATATTTCTATGTTAATAAATGTATTTGTGCAAAGAATATTATTTTCACATTTATTACAGGAAAAGTCGCTTCAGAAAAATAATTTATCAAAAATTTAACAACAATCAATTCAGTTTTAAATTGGTTAGTTTTGCCATATTTTGTGTGATTTTGTTTGCAAGTTGACAGGCGTTTTAAAATAAAATATGCTATCAATAAGACAAATGAAAATTAAATTGTCTCACGAACCCTGAGACTGTACTCTCTGATCACAGGGTGCGTTAATAGTCTGTTACCCTGCAATTTTGTATACTATCTCGGGAGCTCTTGATATAAGAGGGCACTTAGACTGCACTACGCTTGGAGTACGTGACACCGAAGTGACTCTCAACGTCGACATACAAAATGCACAAAACCTCTTGAAATCATGCTCTTCGCGAAACAAATTGAGAATAATTGCATCTCAGTGAAAAAGGAGAAAGAAAAGGTAAATGGAAAAAGGAAAACTAGCGATGTCATTTACAAGTCAGCAGCAATTCAGACGCTTTCTTTGGAAAGAAAACGCTTAGAATGATGTTATATAAATATTTTAGGGTTATGTTGGCTTTATTAGCACGGCGCAAAACAAGCACCTTTATCATGGATTATGATGTATAAAATCACCGCTGAATCATATGTAAACTGGCTAGGTCTATATACAGCTTAACGAGAATGTATCTCACAATGAGTCAAATATCCACTCCACTTTCGTTGTCAGTTAGTGTTTTCTTTCGTCATAGAGCACTGCGAAAACGAGTTCAACCTTTAAGGTGGTAACCTTTGACTCTTGACTTTGATCTGAACCTAGCCCTTGTGATTCTCATGACATTGTCTGATACATTTTTTCCACCCTACATCCACTCAAAACAAACCTGAAGCCATCCTGAAAAGAAAAAAACAAAACGTGAAATTAATACTTGACAATAAAAACACTGTACGCTTCAAAAAGTCTTCCGTATTCAAAATGTGTAGATTTATGGTTGACCCAACTGAACAAATGTATACCTAAAGTTATGTTAAACATTTGTATGCATGCACATGCGCACTTGTAAACACACATAGACGCACGCATACAGAAAACAATACTTGTTCATATGGGCATAATACCGCTTTATACAACGAACACTGGACACCCGATTTCTGCCTTTTCAGTTACTAAATATTCATTATTCATTTGTTAATACCGGGTGTGTATTCAAAGCTTTGTGTTACGTTCTGTTGTTTATCAACGTAGGTTTAATAATCAGCGGGATATCGAGGCTATTTCTCATATTTTGGTAAGACGGGCTTGTGTGCCCAAATGCGTAATTCTGGCTATTTTCACTTGAAATCACCCAATTTTAAGCTGTGATTTGCCTATGTTTACACACTGCAACGAGAAATACGAACGCCGATATTTTATCTTTTCGAGATGCAGAAAACACCTCATTTGCTGTATCTGGATGATAATAAAGGGTTACAATACCGTTAAGACAAGTGTGACTGAAAGAATTATATCAAAAGACAAAAAAATGTAAAACGTCAACCTGCATGCCATGACAGACTTCCACAGCTCTGCCGTGACCAGGATTCGAACCTGGGTTGTCTCGGCCACAACGAGAAGTACTAACCACTATACGATCACGGCCCGTACTGCAGGTGCGATCGATTGACAACACGTGTAAACCTGGGTTTGGCACGTGGTTTCTATTCATTCCTTTAAAAAACGATTTATCAAAATTATACAGGTATTACGGGCGGGGCGCGCACTGTATCCCCTTTTGAACCAGTCTTACTCTTGTGTTTACACCTTGTAAGATAAAAAGATAAAAAGCGCCCATATAAAAAAGAAGCAGCAATAGAAATAAGGTGATGCAGAGGGTGGCCAGATATCCTGTGGGTTAAGTAATTCTTTCTAAACACTAGATACTTTTTTGTTTCTGATATTGCTATCCAGTGGCTAGAAATTGCTGCTCTCCTTAGGATAATTGTTCAGAGGAAAACAATTTTATCCGATGGAAAGTGCAACTGTTATCCATAGGGTAGCTCTCTCCAGCATTGATGAAACTGGGATAGCGTTTTCTTTTCTTTTTTTCTTTTTTTTTTTTTGCCTATCTCGGACTCGTGACGAGAGCGGTCAGGAAAAGTGACCGATTTGTATGTGCTTAAGAACATTGCCAATTTTGTTAGCATTATTTAGAACAATAGCTTTGTAAGTATTTATCGTAAAGCCACATTTCGTTTTTGATATTGTAGTCGCTGTGAAGAAAACTTCTTGTAACGATTACACGGTAGGCCTATCTAAAATCAACAAAAGATCTCCTGCATGCCATGACAGAAGTCCACAGCTCTGCCGTGACCAGGATTCGAACCTGGGTTGTCTCGGCCACAACGAGAAGTACTAACCACTATACGATCACGGCCCGTACTGCAGGTGAAAACAAAATCAACGGCACGTGTAAACGCGACTTTGATTCGTGGTTGTTATAGCTTTTTAAGTACCAGAATTTGGCATAATAATAACACATAAAATTACGGGCCGCTCACTATACCTGTCCTTTTTTTTCACTAGTCTTACTTTTTTTCTCAATTTGTAAAAAAAATATATAAGGCGTTTCTGTATTCTTATTTGCCGAACTGATAAGAGCTTGCGGGAAAAGTGGCCGATAGGTATAGCTTATGTAAATTTACTGATTCTGTTGGCATGATTTAGATCAATAGATTAATAAGTATTTATCTTAATGCCACATTTCGTTGTTGATATTGTAATATAGTGAACTAAGATTTTTAAGAAAAATCGCTGGCAGGGTTTTTGAGTACTAAATGGTGTCATTAAATTTGCGATGACACGGTGATCGTGGGTGCTCAGGTAAAAGAGAAATTTGAGAACACGATTTTTCAGTTTTTATCCCAAAATCGCAATTGTTACGTTACCCTTTAGATGACATACGTGTAAATGTTAATTAATTTAGTCATTGGAACACTGAAGATTTATCTATTACCCAAAACAATGTATGTAAGGCAGTAAATAAGGAGTCTTGGGCGGAGGGCAACTATGTCCTTGATAATAAAAAGACAAAAGGACTCCTGCATGCCATGACAGAATTTCACAGCTCTGCCGTGACCAGGATTCGAACCTGGGTTGTCTCGGCCACAACGAGAAGTACTAACCACTATACGATCACGGCCTGTACCGCAGGTAGTGGTCACTGCGACAGCACGTGTGAACCTGACTTTGATGCGTGGTATAGTTATTGATTCTTGGCAAAATCGTAGAAGATATATAACAAACGGGACGTGCACTGTGTCCTTTTACTCACCAGTCTTATTATATTATTTACAATGTGTAAAACATATATGCGTCTTAATTGAAAAATATTTTAAAAAGTAGCAGTAACAGAAAGAAAAACTGTTAACCACTATACGATCACAGCCAGTATTGCAGGTAGACATACGTGTTAGACAGTATGCGACTCTCGGTTTTTATTGATTCAAAAATATTAAATTTTGGCAAAAAAATAACATAATAGATTAAGAACGGAACTCGCAGTTCACTTTTCTTACTAGTCTTACTACTCTGTTCCCAATCTGTAAAACATAAAAGATATAGCTGTCGCACCTGCTCTCCAAGTGTAAACTTTGACAAATGTATCGACTCACCCGTATAGAATATGGAACCGATTTCCAGAACTCCACGTTTGGGAGCAATTCTACTCCAGACTTTCCTTTTGCTTTGTAGTTATACGCCACACCGGCTATAAGGTATACAACCACAAGGACCAAGACTCTGGAGAGTACAAGAAAAATGTGAAATTAGAGTCGGTCTGAGCTCAGACCCCCTAAAGAAGTGGGTCCTAGGGTTGAAGTTCGTATGGGTGAGATCGAGGGTCAACCAAAGAAAAAAAATAATAATAAAATAAAACAGATTAAGTGGCGGAAGGGTGTAGAAGCAGAGAGACAGTTTTTTCTTTTCTTTAATCCAGTTACACGGTTAATAACGGTCAGCCCACACATGTAAGTATAAAAAGAAATAAGATATGTTTCGAAAATATGATGAAATAGAAGATAAAGCACCCCATTTCTTAATAATCATAGCCTCGGGAATGAATTATTTTGCATTATTCAACAGACATCATTCTCCGTAATTCTGATTATTACCAGTGCATGGTGTTCACATTTACTTACATGATAATAAGAATTGTCCCGCCGCTTAACCCGCCTCCGCCTAGCGGAGCTCCAGAGAAACAAGCATATTTGGACGTCAGCGTCATATACTATAGGAAAAGCGAAAAGATTAACATAAAAATGACACGTAATTTAAAAAAAAAACTAGACCAGGATCTTTTAAAAAAATAACCCATTCTATATTTTAGACACACTGGTAGCTTCTATGAGTTTGATAAATTAGCCTAAAAACCAGGAATTAATTTCTCTGTTCGTCCAACATCAAAGTAGCAAAGTAGTCTGCACTGTTTCCACTACGCAAAAGATTAGGCTGTCAACAATCAATTTAATGTTGCAATCCACTGTAGTCTCCATAGCGATATACATATGTAGCTAGTCAGCGTGTGTGACGCTCTCGAAGAAACACAGTGACGGAGAGAGTGGATCTCTACTCGGCGAAATAGGAACAGCGTCACTTCTACCAGGGTCGCAGATTGAATTTTCACTTGATATTCACAGTTATGTTTTTGGCTAATTCATGACACGATTCTCTCCTGTGAAGAAGAAGCTGAAGAAAAATGCACATAACTAATCTGGTAGAGGGTAATATTGAGTCCTATCCTAAATGCATACGCATACAAAGTGCACTGTACAGGACGTAAATAGCTTACATCGTATACAGAAGATTAAGAACAATATATACTCACGTAGTTGGTGGGGTTGCTGGTGTCCTCCCCTGACGCTGTGAAGTCGCCCTCTTTATTCTGGTCACACACCAGTTTAACATGGCCCGTCCTGGATATTGGAGGAAAGTGAATTAATTTGTTTACAAATAAATTTATAAATAAATTGTTACATGGAATAAACAGATAAAAAATGTTTTTTTTTTTATTTGTAGATTTATCCATTTGTATATTTACATATTTATTCAGTATGAATCTTTTTCTTTCACTCGTTAAATAATATGCCTATTTCTTTCACCTCACAGTTGAATAAAATAAGATAATTAATGAGACCTACTCATTCACCTATCCAGTCACTCGCTCACTCTCTCACTCATCGTCCATCTGTCCCCTCATCCAGTCAATCATTTATTTATTTATTTATTTATTTATTTATTCATACTGACTTTACCTCGCCGTGCCTGTTGTGTCAGTCGCCGTATAAACTAGTTGTAGCTTGCCGTCGTCTGCTGTGCTGAAGGCGGCGGTGTTCTGACTGCCTAATGGATACCCGTTAGCATAGACGTCCACTTGACACGCCTAATATACATATATAGTTATAAAACAACTTGTTATGGAGTTTTTTTTATCAATTTACCCTTCCTTTTTTCTTTGTCTGATTTGAAAACATGTAACCATTTAACCGACGGCATGTTCCAATGAAAAAGAGTTTCCAAGAATTTTTTTCTTTTCTTCCACTTGTGAAGGGTGCGGGGGCTTGGGATTCTATTTTTAAATAGAATCACAACACATTGACCTTTTTAAGTCTGATTTAAACTTACAAACGCGCTGGTGCAACAACGCAAAAAGCCACCCCACCCCACCCCCACCCGAACTCCATCATCTACACACAGATGGGTGACTGGAATCAGGTACCTGTATGCCAGAAGTCACCACCGCGCTGTAGACGCTGGTACAGTAACACACACCCCCCCCCCCCCCCCCCCCCCCCCCCCCCCCCCCCCCCCCCCCCCCCCCCCCCCCCGCCCC